GGTCTATTATATAGCCTAAATAGTAGGACTTTGTATTTATAGGCACTATACCTAGTGCGGAAAGTAGTGTACTCCTCTAAGTTAGGGTCTATTTAGATCTTATTAAAGGCAGCATAAATATCTAGCTTAGTAAAGATTTTTACTTTAGCTAGCTAGGATAATAGATTATCTATACAGGGTATTAGATACGCGTCCTTTTGCGTTAAGCTGTTAAGCTTATAGTAATCTACACAGATCCTAAGGCCTCTATTTAGCTTCTTAATATATAGGATAGGAGAGGCAAATAGGCTCTAACTAGTCTTAATAAAACCTTTCTATAGGTGCTCTTATATATATTCCTTAGTAGCCTAGAGTTCCTTAGCATTTTAATAATAGAGGGGACTCTAGTAGTTTAGAAGGGGTTCCTCTAGGACTATCTTATAGTTATAAGGCTAGTAGATTAGAAGTTTATTAGCCTTAGCCTTATTAAAGACGTCCTAATAGGAGTTATAGTTAGATAGGAGCTTCTAATCTAGCAGGCTATTATTAAGAGTGTCCTATTTAGATAGGGTTTAGATCCTACGCTTAATCTTATATAGGCTAGTAGTAAAGAATTTATTAGAAGATTTTTTTATATTAAAATAGAAAGCATTAGTAGAAATAGTAGCAATTTAGAATTTTACAGGTAGGGTAACAGTTAGCAATTAGACTAGGGTAGGTAGCGTAATAGGTTTAGTAGTAGCCCTATAAGTAGCTAGAATTTTAAGTATACCACGTATCCTATTAATTAAACTAGGACTATTTTAGTTCTAGTTCTCCTCTTAATCCTAAAGGGCGTCTCTTTGCAAGATATTATAGGTAACTAGAGTAGACAGCACTTGCTAGTAGAGTTGTACTAGAATAGGAGGTGCGGGGTCGTAGGTTAGAGGATATTTCTCTAGCTAGATTAGTTAAGATTTATCTATATTAATTAGGATTTAGAACTATTTTAGCTAGTGTTATCTAATAATACAATCCTAAGAACCTAAGTCTACTATTATAAAGGGGTAGTTATAAACCTTTTAGCTACTAACTATTATATAAAGCTAAATATAGTAGGTAACTAGGGAGGTAATCTAATCCTAGAACCCTTTAATAGTAAGCTTATATAGTAGCTTTTAGATAGGTACCCTAAGTATAGAAGAGATATTATAAGTAATTTTTAAATTAAGAAATAAGTAACCTTAGGCCCTAGTATCTACTAAAGCGTTTAGGCAAATACTAGATCTATTAAGGTATAGGGTTATACGTGTAAGCAAATAGGAACTAAAAAATAATTTAGTTAAGGAAAGGTTTAACAGGTTATATTAAGTTAGGCCTAGGAAGGAGAATCCTCCTAGGCGTTGTTGTTTCCTATCTAATAGCTATCTAAATTAGTTAATTTAGCGGTATCTTCTTCCTTAGAATTCTTAGTAACCTATTCTATATCTATAGCCTAAATCCTAGGGGGTTTAAGGTAGTTACTAGAGAAGTGCCTAGGCTTTCTATAATTATAGCAAGTTACTAAGGTTCCTATTATAGTAGCGCTAGGAGTAGCTAGAGTAGTAGATAGGGGTTAATTATTTTAAGGGGTAGTGCCTTATTATTACAAGTAGGGTATATAAGGTTTAGCTATTAAAGGTCTATTATAGGGTTTCTAATTAGCGTCTAAATAGAACTAGTTTCTAGAGTGTTAGAAGGGGGTTAGTCCTTTTCTAGATAATAGAGTAGTCTAGGTAGGAGTAGATAAGGTAGGGTATAGGCAGCGTTCTATGTTAAAAGTAGTAAGATAATCTACTATAGTCTTAAAATTATTATACTAATTCTATTAGAAAGCAAGGTTTAGTATCCTTAGGGAAGGTGTAATCTTTATCTAGAGGTAGTAATACTACTCTAATTAAGGTACTTCTCCTCTAATAGCAAGACTCTAGAATTATAACTTAAAAGCAGGGAACGTCTCTATATTAGTTATATATAGGCAGTTAAATATAGTCTAACTCTTAGCTATCTTATTTCTAGTAATAAAGTAAGTTTAAAGGAGGGTAATTATTTCCTTAGCTTTTTAGAATTAAAGACTTAGGGAATTAGATAGGTAACGTAGCTCTAAGTATTCTCTTGCTAGTCCTAAGTAGTGTCCCTAGACTAACGCTATCTAAGCTCTAGAAAAGGGGTAGTAATTAGTATTAATCTCTAGCCTATCCTAAATAGATACTTACTATTATCTAAAAGTAGGGTTAGCACTATTACTAAGTATAGAGATATTTAGCGTCTTTTTAGATTATCTCTTAGCTTTTATAGTATATACTATAGGGTTTAATATAGAAGCTAAAGACTAGCTAGGTTAGGTAGTACCCTATATCTCCTTATAGAGGGAGGTGTTGTATAACTAATTAGTAAGTTACTTAACTTATTCCTTTAACCTCTCCTTTTTAGATAGGGTTAATATATATTTATCTTTAAGGGAGGTATTGCTTTAAGATTTCCTAGGAGCATAAGGTACCTTAAGAGATAGATAGGAAGTAGGTCCTTCTAGGAGGGCGTTATTAATTAAGTCTTCCTTATCTAATTTCTTTCTATTAGTAAATAGGCTTTTAAAAGTAGCTAAACTAGATACCCTTCCTTTACCTTTATCTAATATTTTATAGTTAATAAGAATAATAAATCTTTTCTTTAGGGGGTTTAGTTATAGGAGGATATTAGCTTTGCCTCTAATTCCTCTAGGCTTTTAGTAGTCTCTAGGTCTCTACCTTAACGCAATCTAACGCGATTTTTCTAAAGGTAATCTAGCACTACCTATAGGTCTAGAAGTCTAAGCCTATAGGCTTTAGTTATTAGAAGTTCTAATAGCTATTCTAACTATAGAGTTACAGGGTTAGATAGCTACTAGAAGTGAATTAGTAGCTTAAAATAATAATAAGTGTAATATTCTTAAATACTATTACTAGCTAGGATAATATTCTTCTTATAATATAATAACTTAGGTAAGTAGGGTATCTAAAAGGTATCCTATATAACTTAAAGGCATATAGGAGTGCGTGTCTATATAGAAAAGGATAAGATTTCTATACCTATAGGTCTTGTACAAAAGGACAAGAAGAACATGCCTATCCTAACTATAGGCGAGCTGTTCTCTATATACATCAGTAAGTCAGGCCTTTATTGGGCCTAACTTGGCATGGAACAATAGGCAGGCAATTCTGCCTTATTGTTACAATCAGCGTCTTAGCTACTTATCTTTATCTTAGCAAGATAAGCTTTATACTATAATCTTGCTAGTGTTACAGCGCTTAAATTAGTTAGCGCTAGGTTATTACAGAGCACTTAGATAAGTGCTTAGAGGGTTACTCTTCCTTAATTAACAAGCTCTATATAGGCTAGGGTAAGGATCCCTTAATCTACTATATTATTAACCTATATAAAAAGGTTCTAGATTACTAATAACTTTAATACCTAATCTAATAAGTAGGCTTAGTACTAAGCTATTTTAAGTTTGTACTACTTGCTTATTATATTAGATAGCGTAATATCTATTAGTATATTAGGCTTAATAGGTTTATTCTTAAAGTAGTTTTTAGTATCCTAAGCCTTAGGGTCTACCTCTACCTAGATCCCTTTAGTTAGGGCATAGTATCTAAATTAAATATACTAGGTAGGCTAGTTAGTTAATCTAGTAAGTAGGATATCCCCCTTTAGGATTTAGTTACTTATAGTAGAAGAGTAATAAGTAAGCTTCTACTTAAGAAATAGTATAAAGAAAGAGTAAAGCTTGCTAGCTTAGTATCTAAGTTAAATAATACGCTTAAATAGATAGGATAATCTTTAATAAGGTAAAGCGCAAACTAGGCTTATAACTATAGAAATTTAGATTACTAAGGTTAGGAATAATTTAGGAGATAGATTATTAGGTTATATCTACTATAATCGTACTTATATATATAGAGCTTCAGCTACCCTTACTAGAAGGTGAATAATTAGTAAACCTTCCTTACTAGAGCTCCTGCTTTTTATTAGGCACTTGGCAGTAAGCTGGCAGTTGATCAGATAGTGGGTCATACAGGGGTATTGATCAGGGTTGATCGGATCAAGATGCTCCGTGATCCGGTTGATATCCCTCCTGCAACAGTTCTGATCATCGCACTGTTAAAATGACAACACGTAAGACAGCATGTAAGACAAAATGAGCAAGTCAGCCTAGGTATCCCTGTCTAAAAAGAATACAACATCCCAGTCTATAAGATGACCGGGATTTGAGTAACAGCGGTGAAAGAGTGAGATCTTAGACGGTGCAGCAGCTCTTTCATGTCGTCTCAAACCCCAGCAGATCTGTAGACTAGAGATCAATGTGCACATCCACGTTACCGGGAACGGCTCGGCCGGTGAGACCTGCGCTGTGTACACCACCATGGTAAGCAAGCTCGGTGGCATGCCTACCATGTTAGTATCCGCATTATGCCGACAGGTCCAGATCAACGCCAACAAGTAACCCCCCTCAATCTTGATGTACAGGTGACAAAGCGTATCTTGTATGTTCCAGGTATTAGCAGGCGTGGAATCCCTGGGTATTTTCTGTGAGCTAGATGCTCCCTTCTCTCCGTGATCTGACCGCCCGCACCCCCAGCAATGGGTCTAGTAGAAGTGTGAGCCCGAGGCTGATGGTGACATTATTTAATTATGATGGTTAGCCATCAGACAGGAATACATGGTAATTTGCAGAGAGCAGAAACATGTATGATCTAAAGAGCGGCGGTATCAGGCGTAATTTGGGGTATCGTCAGCTGCGTATCCGGGATCACAATAGAGCCGATAACATAGAGAAACGGACGTTTTGCAATTTTCCTTGGAAGGTTTTGCTCCGCAGCTCTTCTACGTAAGATTATTCTTGCTGTTCAGCATCCTGCAGTAAACGACGTCCCTGTGATCCGATTGCAGGTCATAGGCCATTCAAAACGGGTCGCAGACTTCATGATTACCATGAGTGAAAAGTATTCATCTGAACGCCAATCATGCAGTCTAGTGATCATCATATACGCTGTTGCATTGCCGAGTCGTTGGAAAGTCCGTATTAGAGTAAAGTATGAGTGAATGAACACGAGATCGCCATCGCAATAAGTGGAGACGAGGAAATGGACCCTTGGTTTCTTAGTCCCAATCTGGTAAATACCAGATCATTGGGCGCTGAACATCAGGAGCAGCATCCGGAAGTTCGGCTACTTCTCTGATCACAGCAAAAGAGGTCGCCTGCGTAGCGAACAGATCTCGAAAAAAAAAGGAGATGTCTTGGTTGAAATTCGGTCAACTAGGTCCGAAAATAGGATTCCCCGCACAGACTCGTCATCACGGAAAGCGTGCCGTTCTCAGCCACATTCCATGAAGCAACTGTTTTGCGCGCGCTTCTCAGTCTCTGAACGCCACCAACAGGCGGTCATGGACGGTAGGTATGTGTCTATGTATGTACAGTGAAGAGCCTCTATATACTGTACATTAGACACCAAGTTCTTAAATCTTATGGTATCGTGCACCGAACTTCGAGCACAGGCTGACTGCCAAGATCTCTCCACTAAACAGGGGTTTCTTCCCTACACGGCTAGAGCCTATACTTCCATCAGCCTCCTACCATGCCGATACGGTACGCCTTACTCAATCTCGTCCGTCACACAGCACGGTGACGTTGAGGAGAGTTTGTATAAGATTCTGAATGGGCACCCCGCAATAACCGGAGGCAAGGGTGAACAACACCTCACGCTCCTTTGAAATCATCTGTCAGATTGGGCCCCCTTCCTTGATCAATGTAACTCTCACATCATCTCCTTAACTTGTATACTCGTCATTCTCGTCTTGTCGTGTGACTGGCATTCTTTCTCTTCCTTAGCGTAGTTATCGGGTGAAGAGGCGTTCAAGGCAACAACGTACGATGATTTTCTTTCCCCTCTTCGCTGCGTGCACTGTTACCGCGGCAGTTGTAAGGCAACACCAACAGGTGCCTATGTTGGAGCATGTGTATGAAGAGGATATTGAAAGACCAAGCATTGCTGTTCATTTTACATCGTCACGTGCAATCCCTGCGGCCCGTTATTCCAATGGAACTATTCTAGATCTTGAGACTGTTGAAGGAGACACTGAGTACATCGATCTAGTGTCTCAATGGATGGCCCAAAACTCAAGAATCGGTGGAAGAAAGGTAGAGAGGCAAGACTGGTGGTAAGAGAGACCTCTAATACCCATTGTAACTTTACTGACAGATCTACAGTCGGGCATATCCACTTTACGAGGAATGTAGATCGGATGGTTTGCGGCGCCGAAGGTCACCTAAACTTCAGGATCCCATAAGCAGAGACACAGTGATTTTATCCAAAATGCTCATGCAAGTGCGAATATCAATCGAAACAGAACTGGCCATCCCGCTCACTACAGTGGTACCTGTCTTCTTCGAACTTCGTCAAAACCAAACACAGGTTGTACGAAACGCGATGGATATCGTCGGACTCCAATTTCCACGCTCATCCGATTCCGCTGGTGGCCATGTATTGCTCGACACAAATGCCGCCTATGCCGGGTTTGTAAGTCTATCTTGCAAACAATCGCCGGAACCCGAAAAATGTAGGGAAAAGAGGGAGAAAAGTGACCAGACCACACTATTCGTCGATTTCGACAACCATTCTTTCAGCGCCAGTGCCGGTACTATACGAAACGAAGCTGAATCCCACTCGATTGGCTCACGAATTCTCTCCCCGGAGCTTGGATGGTGGGACCTCCCGATTTTCGAAATACACCGCGCAAAGTTCTGGGCAAGAATGCATGAAGCTATCCTGGATGTGATTGGGGTGCTAGGGGGCCGGCCAATCGACCACATCGTGTTGACGGGACAACATGGTGCGGATGAGGAGTTTATAGGTGTAGTGGAGGCCACACTTTGGAGTGCCTTGGAGATGGATACAGGATCGATGCTGCTGTCAAGTCATGCCGCAGATGCCGGGAGGTTAGTGGCGAGGGGCGCGGTCGAACTAGCCTGGCGTAGAGAATAACAGAAAAGAGAGGCTTGTGCTCAAGAAGAGAGAGCACCAACCGAGGAGAAAGAAGGTAGTTGATGAGTGCATTTCCTTAGAGATACCCAGATATAGCAAACATTTCATTCAGTATGATCTACAATGTGTTCATGTTGATAATGCATGGCGTTGAATTCTATGATTATAACCTCTTTCACTTGTTATGCAGTAGGAATCACTACTGTGATACAGTGCAGAAAAGCAATGGCTTAACCTGCAAAAATGAGACTAATGTCGCGCGTCCACAGACTATGATGATTTGTATTCGGTATATCTTGCCTGATATGCGTGGTCAGCTGGTCACCTGAATTCAAGCGAAGGCGAGAAGAAAAGGAATACAGAGCTACTTGTATCTATGATTATTGGTTCGTCATTGTCCAATCGTACTCATGCTATTGGCACTAAATGTATCGAAACATGTTGTTCTTCACACTTCTCTTCATTGAAACAGGTTTTCCGTCTTCGTACTCAACGCCAGCACTGCCTCCGTCACCATCTAAACTCTGCATCTTTGCAAGTAATTCTTTGTCGAGTTCTGCCTGCGTCTTCTTCTTTGGTTGGACTTGATCTGCTGAATTGGCTGTAGTGTCCTGCACAGTGTTAGTGGATATTGTATAAAAGGCCTACAGTTCCTCTTTACCAGTTTCTCGCTGTGCTTTGACTGAGAATCAGATTTTGTATCAGAGTACATGCGATTCAATATCCACGTATTTGAGGCTTTGGAGATGAATGAGCTTGGGGAAAGACGTAAGGAATGGCTGCGTGCAGCCAACATTATGATGGAAACCAATATGATCACCAGCAGAAAACTACCATGGCAAGTGACAAACTCCAAGGGTTGTCGATAGTATCAAGATGTACGTCACAGTGACTGCCCTGTCCATGCATGAGTCACGTGATGCCCTCCCCATGTCCCGGATTTGAGATGCCAAGGAGCTAGTGTGTCCGCGGCCTATGAACTTTCAGTTTTCGCGACTTGACGAACTGTCTAACCACCGCGCGCCTGAAAGACCAACTCAGCCACTACGACCGAGTCGTGCGGCACATTTCACTCTTTTCTCGCGTCAAATTTGCCGGGACCAGCTCATCACGATGGTTGTCACCAAAGTTGGCCAGTGGTCCAATGTGGAAGATGAAGTGCTGAAGAGCGCCATCTCCAAGTATGGCCTCAATCAGTGGGCGCGATGCGCCTCGCTCCTTGCAAAGAAGACAGCGAAGCAGTGCAAGTCGAGATGGCAGGAATGGCTCGATCCCAGCATCAAGAAGACGGAGTGGTCACGAGAAGACGACGAGAAACTCCTGACTATGGCAAAGCTGCTGCCCACGCAATGGCGCACTATCGCCCCTATCGTCGGACGCACCGCAACACAGTGCTTGGAGCGCTATCAAAAGCTCCTCGACGAACAGGAGGCCAGAGAGAGTGGGGATCTGGGCCTTGCTGGGCCAGAAGGCGGAGAGTCAGCTGCGCCTTCGGCGGAAGACGTGCGACGACTGCGCCCTGGAGAAGTCGATGCCTACGCAGAAAGCCGACCAGCCCGACCCGATGCAATTGATATGGACGAAGAGGACAAGGAGATGTTGTCCGAGGCGCGTGCTCGCCTGGCGAACGTCAGTGGAAAGAAGGCCAAGCGGAAGGCGCGCGAGAGGCAGCTGGAGGAGTCGAGGCGACTTGCCCTCCTCCAAAAGCGACGAGAACTCAAGGCTGCTGGCATCAACATCAAAATTGCGCCGAAAAAGGGCCATCACATTGACTACAACGCCGACGTACCACTCGAAAAAGAAGTCCCCTCGGGATTCTTCGACACCACCGAAGAAATCGAGGCTAACGAGAAGCAACGAGAATCCTTCGACCCACGTAAGCAACAGCTCGCGAACAAGCGCAAGATGGAACAGCAGGATGGAGGCGGAGACAACAAGCGCAACAAAAAGGACGAGAAGTCGGGAGGTCTAGCAGCATCGTACGCAAAGGCTGCTCAGATGCAGAGGATCCGCGAGGCAGAACAGAGCAGCAAGCGACGTGCTCTTGTACTACCTACGCCACAAGTCGGGGAGGCAGAGCTCGAGGACATTGTAAAGATGGGCATAGCTGGCGAGCGCGCGATCACTGCGGGTGGTGGAGACAACATAGCGACTCAGGGCCTCGTAGGGAATTACTCGACCATCACTGGCAATACTCCAATTCGCACGCCCATGGCACCCAAAGAAGAGAACTTCATCGCGAACGAAGTACGCAATGCCCGATTACGAACAGAAACCCAGTCGGCTCTTCTTGGAGGAGACAATCCAGATCTCGTAGATGATGAGGCACCAGCTTCACTCTCTGGGCCATCAGCACGGCACCAGATTGTCACACCAAATCCTTTGGCTACACCTTTTCGGCAAGGCAACGGACCAGGAGCCACCCCTGTGCGTCAGGGGCCTGGTGCAACCCCAATGCGAACACCTCGAGACACTTTACGCCTAAACGAAGAAGAGAGCGGTATGCAGCTCGTTGCGCAGACTCCCCGGGATATGAAATTACGTGAGAATGCAAAGCGACAAAATTTGAAGAGCAGGCTCGCAGCGCTACCAAAGCCAAAGGAGGAGAGCTGGGAGTTTGAGCTGCCCGAAGAACAATCAGATCAAATGGAAGTCGAGATCAGCGAAGAAGATGCTGCTGAGCGGGATCGTCGGGCACGGGAAGCTCGCGAGGCCGCAGAGGCCGCGGACTTTCGTCGGCAAACCCAAGTTGTGCAGAAATTCTTGCCCAGGCCATCGCTAGTCGACATCGATGTGATGCTCAAGAGGGCATTAGACTTGTCAGATCCCGTTGAACGAGAAATTGAGACTGAAATGGCTCTGTTGATTGCCAACGATGTTAAAAAGTTCGGAAGTGGGCGTGTCACAGGAACTCTGAAGCCAGTTGAGACAATAAGTGATGATGCTCTTCGGGCTGCCAAGATGGAACTGGCACTGGAACTCGCCATGTCGTCCGACAAGGATAAAAAAGCATTCCATAGTGAATTCGCCACCTCGTGGACTACTTTACATGGCTCAGCAATCCTACCTGGTATTGCTGGGTACGAAGAAGATGAGATTGATGAGCATCAGCTCATGGTTGAAGCGTTTGATAATGCGCAGGAATCGATCATCGAGGCAGCTGAGCGCGCAAACAAGATTGAGAAGAAGCTAGCGGTTCACCATGCAGGCTACATTAAGCGTGCTGCCCTTTTACGCGAGAAGATTGGCGGTGCTTTTGGAGCACTCGAGAAAGCGAAATACGATTTGGACACCGCGAGGACAGCACAGTATGCCGAGCAGACGGCCATCAGCCGACGCCTGTCAAGCCTGCGCGATGAAGTCCAATTTGTCACGAAGAGGGAGAGAGAGGCGCAGGAATTGTATAGGACAAGGAAGGAGGAACTTGACGGGCTGCAACAGTCTGTGAATGGAGTGCATTAGGGTGTTGGAGACGTTATTCATCATCTTGTCATTGATCTGGCTCTTGGGACGGCGTTGAGGAAAGACATTGCAGGAATTTGTCGCCTGTGGTCTATGGTTTGTGGATCTGGACTCCATAAGTCTAGTGGAGTCTGTACGTGTACTGCAGGTACATATCAAATTTTAGAATTGATGCATATATCTCCCTGAGTAATTCCGGACATTTGACTGCCTCGAAAATTGCTTACACGGCGACTTTTAGGTCCGTCCATCTTCCCAGAACACTAAGTTTACCGGAACAGCAGGTTTTCCCTGATGACGAGTCATTTCTATTGCATGTTGCAACATGGAAACATGAACCAGTGGACTGATTAGCCAAGCACGCCAAGGGAGGGATATAGGTTTGGCCTCCTCCTCTGCAAGAAGCTCTGTCAAGCCTTTGCCTAGGAGTGGCCCTGTACCGGTAGCGTCGGCGAACAAATGGGATATTTGCGATCTCTACTCTCAACACCCCAACTAACAAGTACACGCCGCCTACTGTAATTCAAGGCTAAACCAATATCAAGATAGACTGTTTCCTATACTTTAAAAACACTTGTATATTTTTTCATACATAGCATAGCCTGTATTCGCATAATACAATGGTTGGTGTTCAGCTACACCACCGCCACCAGCAAATATCCCATTGTTTCGCCGACGCTAGAGTGGCCATTCAGCCACACGTGTTGCTACCATTTCTCTTGACGATACTGGACAAAATTCACTCCTTGCCATGGATGGTTTTCACCGATAACTCTCATCCCGTATATTACATGATCCTGCCATTCCACCTCTCATTGTCCAGTACTACCACTCCTCCCAGCACTGTCCAATCAACAGTTTCTCCGTCCAAGGCGTGCCAAGAGCCCTGGAAACAGAACAATCCTTCCGTAAATAGTTCCAAATGGGTGTTAGCATGTCCCAGGATATTTTGCAGCTGCCTTTCAGGACCAAAGGGTGGAGGTACTAGACCAATGGTGAGGGTAGTATGCATTGGTGTAGCATGGATATACAGGAGACTATCCACAATGCTTGAGATTAGTTTATTGCAGGGAGGTTTGCTCGACCGGATATGTGTGTATAAATTGGGCGATCGACCTTTTGCTTTTGCCAAACCGCAACCAGGCACTCCGATTTTCACAGTCTTGTAAGTACGCGGATCTTCATTGTCACTTCTGTGTACTTTAAAACCATGCGTCTTTCAGCCTTGACTCTAGCCCTTGCTGGCACCGCACTTGCCGCAAACAACACTAAGCCATTTTCATCATGGATGGCCTCGTCGTTTCTTTCCAAGGGCCAGCCCATCAACAATCACTACGTCGCGTCGGTCATCCACGAAGGCATCCAGAAAGCCGCGACTCAACAGAAAGATGCGGAACTCCTTAAATACGCCTCCAAGTCTGTATCATCCGTTGTCCACAAGAATGGTACCATCAAGGGCTGGAACGCCACATTCTACTCACTAGACGACATACGCTTCGGCAACAACATCCTCTACTTTTGGGACTCGGAAGGCCGTAAAGAGGAAAAATACGTCATTGCTGCCAAAGGCCTGAGAGAGCAGCTCGACCGATGGCCACGTACACCCACAGGAGGATTCTGGCATCGCGCCCCCATCTACAAGAACCAAATGTGGCTCGATGGTATCTACATGGCTGATACCTTCTACGCAACCTACACGTCGTACTTTGAGCCTGACAACACCACGGCTTGGGATGACATTGCGCTGCAATTCGACCTCATTGAGGAGCACACCAGGAACCACACATCAAACCTGCTCAAGCATGGATACAGTGAGGACAAGAGCACCGTCTGGGCTGACCCAGTCACGGGCGCCAGTCCCTACGTCTGGGACCGTGCTGTGGGATGGTACTTTGTTGCGCTCGTCGATGTGCTAGAGGTCTTCCCAAAGAGCCACGCAGGTTTCGCCCGCATCTCCGAGTACCTCACCACGCTCGCCGATGGCATCAGGAAGTCGCAGGATGCCAGCGGTGGCTGGCACTTGATCATGGACGAGCTGTTCAAGGACGAGCCCCGCAACTACATTGAATCCAGTGCCACTGCCATGTTCACGTACGCCTACTTGAAGGCCATCAGGCTCGGATTGTTGGAGAAGGAATTCCAGGAGACGGCTGTCAAGGCGTGGAACCTGCTTGTCGATGACTTTGTCCAGTACGAGAAGAATGGAACCATAAGCTTCACTGGCACAGTGGAGGTTGGCAGTCTCAAGGGCGATGCATCGTATGACTACTATGTCAGTGTGCCCAAGGTCATCAACGATGGAAAGGGTGCTGGGCCGTTCATGTACGCCGCGACTGAGATTGAGAAGGCAGGCTTGTGAGAGGTATTGTTTTCCAGCTGTTAGAGAATATGATTTTCTTGTATAAATATATTGTTGGAATCAGCGCTTTAATGACAGCAGATTCCTTTCCAAATAAAATAAATGGACGTTGAAATAACCTTACTTCTATCCGGCCCTTCCCGCAATCGCCACGAAAAGTCTCCGAATGTGTGGTGTCAGCAGCTGACAAACAAATGAAAAAGTAGGGCCGATATCTCCCACGCTTAATAGAGTGCAAGAGATCGTGCGGACATGAAGCTGATACTATAGGCTGATGTACCCGTACAAATTCATCAGTCTATACGGTACCATTCTAGGGAACACCAGGAACATTCGCCCTGCTTCTACCTCCATCTCTGCTGCCCCATCTGAGACATTGTCGCATTCCATCGGGACCACAAGGCCAAGCAAAACATCGTCATACTTGCCCAAAAATAACCTTTGACCAACGGGTCCCCCAAGCAACCAGGTGGATCCGACACTGCAAACCGTCACCAACCTCAGCTCGTGGTTCCATGTGCGTGCTGGCAAGCCCACGTTGCTGGTAATGATGGGGTGATGTGCGTGCAGCGTTGCGCCGATGGGTAATGGCCAAGGATCTCTTCGGTGTGGTTATAGAAAGCGAAGGGGCTGCTCTTGCGATTGTTTATGCTGCGTTGCTCTTGATCTTCCCCACCAAAGCCGATTGACTTTGCTACCTACGCGTGAGAAATTACAGTCAACCCAGAACCAGGAGGCATCTTCCCATACGCCTACCTCACAACACAACCCCAGAATAAACCACGCGTGAAACACAGGAAAAAAACCACCACAAAACCGTACGTTCCACACCCCTCCACACCCACCCACCCACCAGCCAAATCTAACCAACCCACCAGCCAACAACACACCCACCAACCCCCAAAAAACCACAATGTCAACCGCCATCTCCTCCCCCCTCCCAACCCCCAGCAACAGCCCCCCCTGCTCCACAGCCGACTTCACCCAATTCCCCACCACAGACATCGCCTGCGCCGTCGGCAGCACCACCAGCCTACCCGCCAACACCTCCGCCATCCTCTCCTCATGCTGCCACTCCGCCCCCGTCGAACCCTTCAACGGCGACTGCGGCTTCTACTGCCTCAGCGTCGACCAACCCGTATCAGAACTACAGGCCTGCTTCATGCAGGGCGGCGTCAACCCGGCGTCGATTTTCTGCAGTGGGAATAATTCGGCCACGGCGACGGGGCGGCCGGATGCTACGGGGAGTGCGACGCGGAGTGGGGGGGCGACGGCGACGGGGGGAAGCGAGGGGGTGGGGTCCCGGGTTGGGCCTGGGGGGATGGGAAAGAGTGGGCTGGGGGTTTTGGGGTTGGTTTTTGCGTTTGTGATTGCGGGGGCGGTTTTGTAGGGAGGAAAGGGGGATATGGCTTTGGGAGAGAGAGGAGGGAGATAGGGGGAGGGAGTGGCGCGAAACGGACTTGTGAGTGGAGGTTTGCAAAGGAGGGGGTGGTTTTTTTTTTCGTTTCTCGGGCATATGAGGCGTTATGAAGTATAATGAACTGGTCAAATATGTACTCTATTTTGTTGCTCTCATCACATCCCAACGTCTTTCCCGTTCTACTACGCAGACGCAAGAGCGCAACGAGATAACTTGGTTCACAAACTATTACAACGCGCCCACCCGCCCACGACACACATCCCCGCCAGACTACCACTTCTCATACGTGCGGGTAAGCCGGCACCGTTTCTCCTCCTCAGGCGTGCATTCGGCTTCTTCAGTGTCAGTGTCGCATCTCCAGTCAGCAGATGCGGTTTCCTCACTGCGTCTATATCACGAATTCCAAGCTCCAGCTAGCGCGTGGCGGAGACACTGCGTATCCAGGTTAAAAACGGCTCGGGGATGCGGTGCACGAGGGGCTTCACTGGTGGTGCTAGATCGAGGTGCTAGGAGAAGGTAGGGGGGGGGTGGTTTTTTGTTATATGTGCTGTGCGTGGGTAGTGACGACTACCACAACAAGTAAACATACACATATATATACAATCCACCATCGCCATACCAATAAGGCTAGTGAAAGTGGGTATATGGAACCAAAACTTGCATGCACACCCCCTTCCCACACTCCTCCCTCTCCGGTAAAGTACCCCATTTACCAACCCAGCCCAAGTCCACCCCCTCCACCATCACCCTCATCCAAACCCCCAACCCCAACTCCCTCAAGCACTACATCCCAACCCCCATCCGCCACCAAAGGCCCCATACCCATGCCCGCCTCCCTACCCGCAAACTCCCACTCCCCGCCCATAAAACACCCGTCGTGATATCCAGCTTCGGCCATGGCATCAGCAGCCGCAAACGGATTTCCCAGCAGATTTTGATGATGGGCGGTGGCGTGGTGCTGGAAGGCTGAGAACATGGGTACGTCGTCGTGTGCTACCGACACTGGGTTCGCGGTCGACGCCGGCATGGTCGTGTGAGCGAGTGGTAGTTTTGGAGAATTGCGGTGGGGAAGGCTGGGTTGGGGGCCGGAGGGGGAGTATGCGGAGTGCGAAGTCGAGGCGCCGCGGGAGGGGGAGGATATGGTTGTAGGGGAAGGAAGGTCGGTGGTGAGATGCATTTCGGATGCGTCGGTGAAGTCCAAGGGGAAATTTGAGGTGGGGAAGTGGGGGGGTTGGGGAGTACTGTTTGTGTTGTGGAGGGGAGTGGTATGGGAGTGCATGTAGGTATCGTTTGGTTGTGTGGTCATGTCGATGCCGTTGATGTCGTGGAGGTGGAAGGGAGGAGCAGGCGCGGTGCTTGCGTAATGCGAGCCTGGAGTTTCGCTGTGGGTGATATTGCTGAATGCTTCCATGGGTGATGGCTTGGGTATTTGCGTCTCTTGAGGAGTGACCAGAGGGTTGGTGCAATGCTGGTTCCTCGCTCGCGGTATCTGCGGTACAGAAGCCTTTTGGTGGAGCCCCTGGATACCGGCGCTCTCGAGGTCGAGATCGAGTTGGACGAGGAAGGATTCAGTGAGTGGGTTTTTGCGGCGTAGGGCGTGCATGGCTTGGAGGAGGAATTGGAGCGAGGACATCATTTGCTGATCTTTCGGTCGTGCCTTGAGGTATTGGACGAATACTCGCGCTGACACATATATGCAAAAGGATATGAATGGATTCATCTGCTCATGTCAGTCCATGCTGTTTCAATGATGGGGCTAATCCTACTGCGCTCAGGTCCATGTGGCTTATCATTCTCATGATGGATGCAATCTCTGCTGCTGCAGTCACGCATCTAATCTTGCTTTCATTACCCACCCTAGCAGGTAACCGGTACTTGTCGGCTTTAAAAATCGCTGCTTGGTGAAGACATATGACGGAAGTATGTATGCACATGTTCGCAAAGACCACGTTAGGACTTGCAAGATTGGTCGGCAACCGCAGATGATCGGGAAGGCCGAGGGACGTTTGGAGTAGGATCTGCTCGATTTCGCGATGTCGATTCCAGAAACCCCCGTTGATGTCGTGGTCGTTGTCGTTCGGCCCAGGGCGATGGAGATGCAAAAGGTTTCGACCAAACATGGTTGCTGTTAGTACCATAGCGCCCATTGCTTGCAGATTGGCAGCGCCGTTGGGACTGAGGACCTCATTCAGAGATCCTGTAGCTGTCGGTCTACTCTTCTCAAAGGCCTCCTCACTTGCTGGAAGGTTAGTCAAGACCTATCTAGCATTAGCTATCGCAATCACAGGGCGGGATAATCGATGACCTACATCGCGTTCATCGATCATCATGGGCCAGCCTGTACCGATGCTGGCGTATCGATCGATAGCGAACGCCATCCAGAACGTTCGTCGGCGTTCCTCTCGCTCAGTCCAATCTTTTGGTGGAAAAAGACATTGCTTGACCTCCAGACCGGTGCCGTCGAGTCGATGAAGCTGCATCATTTGGGCCAATCGCACGGCCCGCCCAGCGGATAGCCACGCTCGCGGAAAATACATCTGTCTGAATTCATATGTACATGCCAACACCCACGTTTGACAATGCGCAAGGGTGATGGTCGATTCTCCGTGGCCTCTCATCTCGTCCGATTGAGCGTATTTTCTCGCGCGTTGATAGAAGTGTTCAGTCAAAGACTCGTACTTGTCCACCACCGATGCTGCTAAAGTCCACATTATGTATCGCAGACATACTGGAGGGCGCATCTGAGGCGCAAGGTTTAGGGCCGCCATGAAGCGGGGACGGTGAATCATCGGTAACGAGAGGTGTATCTTGCTAAAGTAGATCTGGTATCTGTTGACGCGTATCAGTATCGGCGTGATTGTCTGTGAAGTGTCTGCCTTACAGGTCGTCTTGGATATCCTGAGGTGGGAGAGGTTCCTCTAGACCAAGACCTATCATTTCCCAGGATACATTGACTTCGCCCACATTGCCATGGACGGCTGTTTGGGGAAAGGGAGCACCGGTTGACATGAATTGATCCTGACTGCTTTCCTGACTGATACCAAACGTGTTGGCAGGGTCGGTCGAGCTCGGAAGCGGCTGTCGTACCGTGCTGGCAATGTATGCGGAGGTGACATCTGATTGTGAAGGTTTTTTGGTTTTTTCGGGCGCACCCTGACTTTTGAGTAGCGTCTCGACATGTTCTACGAGTGTATCAGTGAGGGCGATGGTGGAAGTGAGCTTGCACCGACTCACGCAATCGCTGCTCAAGGAGCTTCACATAGCCCCTCTTTGGACCGCTCTTCCTGCGCACCTCGTCGTAGGCGCAATCGTGATTTAACCTTTTACAAGTTGAGCATTCGGGTCTTGCGCCATCGCAGCGCAATTTCCTCTTTCGACATAAAACACATGCTATCCTTTTCACTTTGCTCGAGCCATCCTTCCGAGGTTCTTGTCCATCCGCCTTGCCGCTGTCTGGAGCTTGCTGGGATCTATTGTTAAAGAAGTCTTCATTCGGCGACTCGGATTCTGGAGAAGGCATGTTTGTGCAAAGTCAGAAAATGTCAAGCCTGGAGAATACGTTCACGGTGTGGTACATCTATGAGGCGCAGTGCCAGCGCTAAGGATAGCGAGGTGTTGGGCGGGAGTAATCCTTCGAATTTCAGGCAACACTTTAAGCATGGGGGTAGACGTCAAATGAATAATGCCAGCCAATTTCTTCTTCGAACAAAGATGGTGATTCAGGGGAGCATACGAAGTCAGCAATTGCAATTCAGGATGTGAAATACAGGCGTGCGCGTTGCTGTAACTGGTGACGACGTTCAGGTTAAAGAAGTTGGAGTGGCGCATGAGGATTACGGACACCGCGTCGGAGCTGAGGCTGCATCCTGTTGCATAGTCTCGAGCGGGCCCATCTTCCGACTGTGCTACCTTGAGCGTGCATGCGCGTGCATGCGGTAAGACAGGCTTCTAGATATACAAGTCTGGGTGTGCGGGGCCTAGTTTGGCCCTGTTTAGGTTGCCGATGCGAGCGACGCTCATGCAGGATCAACCCTCATTGAATGAAGACGAACTGTCATACTGGCAAAATGACACGCGGCACCACAAAAGTTTTCCCACATGATTGATCGTGTCTGTGGTGAGAGTAATGGCAGGTATGCGATGACATGATGTACATTGCGGCGTCTCCGTGAAGACGCTATATGTGGCTATGCGAATATGATACAAGTAGACAAAGACAGCACAAGTGTGATACATTGGCTTGATTGCCTTTATTTGGGTCTGCGCTTTCCTTGGTTGCGCGGCCTGTCTTGAACAAGGAATGTGTGCTTATTCCTCTTGTATCTCGTCTTGTAGCCTCCTTTGGCTGGAGTACCCCAGGGACTGACAGGGTGCACGTTCCCCTTTGATTTACCTCGACCACCACCGTGGGGATGGTCAGCTGCGACGAGTCAGTATTCACAGGACGTGCTATATTCAAGATGCTGGGTACTGACCGGCGTTCATGGCGAGACCACGAACCTCTGGTCGCTTTCCTAGCCACCTCGACCGTCCAGCCTTTCCAAGCGAAGTAAAATGGGATTGAGGGTTGCTGGCGACACCAATTGTGCAACAGGCGTCTCCACTGACTTTGCGAATCTCTCCACTCTGCAGACGGACGATGACGTGCCTGATCTCTGTGCCCTTGGTCGTTTCTACCTCCTCCTTGTTCACGATGATGGCGTAGGTACCTGCGCTGCGGCAGAAGACGCCTCCCCCCTTTGACTTGGAGCCGACATTGTATACTTGCGAGCCAAGCGGTACCATGTGAATAGGAAGGCAGTTGCCTCGCGCAGCCGTCTTTGCAGCCAGCATACCGGGATCAATACCTCCCCCCATGCTGGCGAGCAGCTCCTTGGGAATACCCGTTCTGTAGCTCTCGACCACATCTCCAGCACGCATACCATCGGCCGCGACAATGTACGACTTTTCTCCCGTCTCTACACGGGTGAGGAGGGCCAAGTGAGAGCTGCGGTTCGGGTCATACTCGATCCTCTCGACGACATGCTTGCCGGGCAGGTAGCGCTTGTAGTCGATGATGCGTATGCGCCTCTTGTGGCCGCCGCCTCTGTGCCTGACCGTCACGCGGCCGGTGTTGTTCCGCCCGCCGAGATGCTGTCCCTTGCGCTCCATGGTAAGCTTGAGGTACGGTCGTCCCTTCCACAAATGGTCGTTGACAGGACGCTTGAGATGTCGCAGGCCGGGGGTGCGGGGCTTGTATGTGCGTAGTGGGATGAATCGCTCTCTCCGCGAGCCCTCTGCTCTGGCCACACCGCCATCAGCAGCGACTTGTGGTTGCAGTGTTGGCGGAGGCTTCTGGTCAATTGTGTGCGCTTGGGCTTGGGCTTGGGCTTGGGCTTGTGCATAGCTGCGGCGGGCAGAGAGCAGCGACTTGCCCAGGCGGGAGGGCTGGAGGCGAGCTATCCGGGGCTGCAGCATGGTGTTTTTTGGAGGCGCGTGAAGCGGCCAGAGAGCCTCTGGAGGGGTTTGTTGCTGGCTTCACGGGCTGCACTGGCTGCCAATGGCTGCAAGTGGCCAGACAAGAAGAGGCGGTCGGCAATTGGGATGTGTTCGGTCCCAAGGGCTCGCCTCAAAGGGTTGCTGGCCAAGTCACGAATAATTCTCGGTCTGGGCCGCAATAGGCCAAGTGCGGGTCTGCACGGCCGTCCTTGCAGCGCGAACCTGGCCCAGCAACGTTGCTCTGCTGTTGTTGCTGCTGCTGCTGCTGTCTATTGCTGCTGTTTCTGCCATTGCTTGCCGCGCTTTCTCTCTCTCTCTCTCTCTCTCTCTCTCTCCCTAGCAAAGAAATAACAACAAAATACACCCTGCTTTCTCTCTCCGTCTCTCTCTCCCCTCCCCCCTCTCTCTCCCTCTCTCTCTCTCTCTCTCTCTCTCTTATCATTTTCTACTGCCTGCGCTGCACTTTTCCCCCCTTCCCCACACATCCCCTCCCCAAAGAGACGACATCGCCGTGTGCCTTAGCTGCATCCGCTTATCTCGACCATTTTCACGCGCTGGGATAGGGCGCACCATTGTCGGTAAGTCACGTACGCGACGCCTGTGTGGGTGGGTGTCTGTGTGGTGGGCGTGTGTGGAGCTAGGTTGCGCCCAGCCCTCTCTCAGTTCACGTCCGCGCTGCGAGTCTGGCGCGAAAGCACCGACGCACTAGCCGAAGCCTGTACTCAAAACAAACCCGCTACTCTCTGCCTTCCATCATCACAACACCCTTGGAGCCATCTCTCTCTCTCTCTCTCTCTCTACCACTCTCCCCCCTCCCTCCCTCTCTCTCTCTCTCTCTTTCTCTTCGCCCTCTCCTCCTTCTCCACCACACGTGCTGCCAATCATCAAGCTGGACCGCTTCTCCCATCCTCTCCACCATCACCAGCTTCACCGCCCCAAGGGTCCGTCTCTCTCTTTCTCACTCTCGCACACATCACAACACGCCCGCTCCATTGCCCTCAGGCTAAGCGTGTCGGCCCTGTCAGTACACGCGAGCGGCTCTCGTGGCTCAGCTCGACGCTTCGTCTGCACGCTTGCCACTGGACCTTGCAGGCTCCTATACTGCCGACCTCTGCTGTCTACGCGTTCGCTACCACACGCTGCCGAGCCCTAGCTGACCCTTCAAAACAGAGTGCATCAACACCACTTCTCTTTCGCCATCCCCGCCCTTGAGCATAGCACAGCCTCCACATTACCTTTCTAGCCTTGATCAGCATACCTAGTATTGATTGCAATGGCACCAGGAGTACGTCACCTTCTTTCAACGTGCTTGCATCCCGTGCACCATCTATACGGCGGGGTCACCATCACCACCCCAACACCTCACTGACGTGTTACCATAGGTTCGATCACTCCGGCAGCGTGCTGTGACTAATGAGAACGATGAGAACGCGGGCACAACACGCTTGACGCGTGCAAAGGCCGCGGGTCTGGGCGCGCACGAGTCTGCCGCCGACGTGCCAAAGAAGGCGCTCCAGAAGACCAAGTCGACAGCAAACCTTGCAGCCAATGGCGCTGCGAGGAAGCGAAACGCGCTCATCGATGTCAGTAATGTCAGCAAAGCGGAGGCCCCCGGTGCTGGCGCCAAGGACAAGAAGCCTGTAGCCACCAAGGGCGCCCTCTCAAAGGCAGCACAACCCACCAAGGTGCAAAAGAGTTCGCGCGCCAACTCGACGCGTTCCATTCTGGAACCCAAGGAGAGGAACACTGGCTCGTCGGACCTCAAGAAGCGTCCGGCCAGCGGCAACGGCATTGGAGGCCAGCCTGCGAAAAAGCGCGTCGCGTCCACAACTACTTCCACCACCACCACTGCCACCGCCACCACCAAGTCCACCAAGGAGGAGGAGGTTGTCGAAGAGGAGGAAGCTGAGAATGTTGAGCCAAAGGAAAACGTCGCCGATGCTGAGGAACCAAAGACGAAGAATACCAAGGTTTCACCCGTGCAGATCCTCGAGGAGGACTTGAAGCATCTCACAGAGGAGCAGCCTGCCAACCTCGATGCTGAGGATATTGACGACCCATTGATGGTCTCAGAGTACGTCGTCGAGATTTTTGAGTACTTGAAGGAGTTGGAGATTGCTACCATGGCCAACCCTGATTACATGGATAGCCAGAGTGAGCTTGAGTGGAAGATGCGCGGTATTCTCGTCGACTGGCTACTCGAAGTGCACACCCGTTTCCGTCTCCTGCCCGAGACCCTCTTCCTTGCCGTCAACATCATCGATCGCTTCCTCTCTGCCAAGATTGTCCAGCTCGACCGTCTCCAATTGGTGGGTGTCACCGCCATGTTCATCGCCTCCAAGTACGAAGAGGTGCTCTCGCCCCACGTCCAAAACTTCCGCCATGTCGCCGATGACGGTTTCACAGAGGAGGAGATTCTTAGCGCCGAACGCTTTGTCCTCGCTGCCCTCAACTACGATCTGAGCTACCCCAACCCGATGAACTTCCTCCGCCGGATATCAAAGGCCGACAACTACGACATCCAGACGCGTACGCTCGGCAAGTACCTTTTGGAGATTGGATGCCTCGACCATCGCTTCCTCGCCCACCCTCCTAGCCAGGTCGCTGCCGCCGCCATGTACCTTGCGCGTCTCGTTCTCGAGCGTGGCCCATGGGATGTCACCCTTGCACACTATGCTGGCTACACGGAGGATGAGATTCAACCCGTTCTGCAGTTGATGATTGACTACCTGTCCGGTCCCGTGGTTCACGAGGCCTTCTTTAAGAAGTATGCTAGCAAGAAGTTTTTGAAGGGTCAGTACCATTGCCGTCCATCATCGATCACCACTAACATTCTGTAGCATCCATTGTCCTGCGCAAGTGGTCCAAGGAGTACGTGGCTACGTATGGTAATGCGCTCGAGGAGGGGACTCCTGTCTTGTCGAACCCCAAGAGCCAGCGCTAAATCCTCATTCTTTGACTAGATACTCCCGGTCTTAGTCTTTACACCCACAACATGATTACCTGTCACGTCTCAAGAAGTCTTCACAAGCTTGGGTCGTGGTAGTGGAGTGTGTGGTGAACAACTGGGAGGAAGCGTTATGAATACTTTCAAGCCCATCTCACGTTGCATCTTGGCTTTACCATCCCTCGGTCGGCGTTTGTACATGGTGATGCGACAAGGCCATCACTTCTCTCGATTCTTCTTGGTCCTTTTGCACTGGAGTCAGTGGCGTCTCGCGTCTAGCCATGGTGGCGCATAACGGATGCCTGTGTCTTGACCACTTTTTATTCTCATTTCTCTTGATAGCGGCTCTGGATACTCGCTCATAGCATTAGCGATCGATATACCATGATGGTGTGATATGAACGGCTATTCCTTTTGGATCTGTGCAGGTGTGGGCGCGTGGGTTATGCATGGTTTCTTGGAATGGCGCGAATGTAGGATTAACGGAACGCGTGCAGTTTAGCATGCACTGGAGCAGAGTGGATGCAATTTCAAAAAGTCAAAATTTTCACTTTGTGCGCACATTGCTTGTGATGAAGATGGATTGTCTTATGTGCTTGTTGATTGCGGGTTGATTGTGTGTGGCCTGCACAATGGTTCTTGAGCATCACGAAAAACCGCGATGTCAACACGAACGCGTCGCATGCAAATCGAGATCCAGATACGTCATGCCCGCGTCCCGCGTCCCCGTCCCCACCACGCAACGCGATACAGTACACCAGCCGCCACACTCACACCCTGCACAGTACTACAACACAGTACAGTACAGAGCAGACATGCGCCAAGCACAAAACAATACATACATGTCATACACAGCACCTCTCTCCGCCAACCCAACCCAACACAACACAACACAACACAACACAACACAACACGCACGCGCGGCGCCCTAACGTCAAAGACATTTGAACCTCGGCCCAAGACGCGCCCGCCATCTCCAGACCAAACCCGATTCGGACTGCCGCTTCACTCGTCGCTTTCATCGGGGAAGCCTTGTGCAGCACAGCATGTATCCACAGTTAGCTAGGTAGCTAACTAGCTATCTGATCTGATCTGACAGCTGTCTGTTTTTTTCGCGTTTTGACTGATTTCGAGCAGTTTTTGACGGATTGGCTTGTTTGAGGATTTGGACAAGACAAGAGGGTTGGTTTTGGTTTGGAGGTTAGTTTGGACTTGTTACTTATTGATACCCATTGGGATGCGAGGATCTGTGTAGGTATACGCATACGCATACACATACCCATATCCACATCCATACGCAGACAAATACGCATACCGAACGCCCCATCCATCCACAATGCAAGAAACCGATCTCCATTACCCTCCCGAGCGCTGCCCCTTCTGCGACATCGCCGCCGCCTTTCCCTTCCCTGCGGCGCCGCCGGCTGCGGAATCAACAGCGGGACCAGCGGGACCACCGGCGTCAGGCCTATGGCAACACCCCCGAGCAAAGCAAGAGCTGGAGGAAGAGGCGGAGCTGGCGAGGAGTATCCCGACGGAGCAGGAGAGCGATTGCGAAAAGACGAGTCCGAGTAGCTTTGTGGTGTTGCGGAGTAGATATGTGGTTGCTTTTTTGGATATCTTGCCTATGACGGGGGGTATGTTTTTTTTTTCATTAGCCTTGGTGTTGGTCTTTGGGGGTTGGGGGTGTGCATGCTGTTCATGATGCTGGTGGAAGCTGGCTGCATGGGAGTGCGAGTGCAAGAAGTGGGAAGAAGAGAGATGAGAGCGGGATCCAAGGGACTCGTAAGACGGCCCAATATGCTAACCAAACAAACAACAGGCCACCTACTAGTCACAACACGAAACCACAAAGTCAAACTCGCAGACATGGAAGCAGACGAAAGTAAAGAAATCGGTACGTTTGAACTTGGTCCCCCCCCCCCCCCACAAAC